ACTTGAATCATAGAAATTATCTCCCAAATTTAGTCGCTAGGATGCACGTAATTACCACTAGTATAAACAATCAAAACGTGAATTGCTCATTGCAAGAATTAAAGATTTTCTGTTAGGTTCACAGTGGTTTGTGGGTGTGCACTAATGAGGAGTCTCATACTAAGACGGAAAACCTGTATAATGCATCCTAGTTTCCAACGATTATCTAACTTTATTTCGCAATGTAAACTATAAACAAAGTAATGTTCACCTCAACAAAGTATTTAAATCATCACTGCTAAGAATAAAACTTATTAAAACTACTTCTATAAGACATTCGGACTCATCAATGAATGAGTATTTCTTAATACTGTTACAACTGTTAACAGGTTTACTATTGAACCAATAATAATAATAATAATAATAATAATAATAATAATAATAATAATAATAATAATAACTGAACACATCAGATAGTACACAATTTATTCGTCATTTTCTGACATGATATCATAAGATTATTTCATTTTTAATAAGTGAATATAAAAAAGAATAGTGAACATACCCTTACTTTGAAATATATACACTTCCTTATTACATATCTAATGGAATATTTTTCAGTAGGTGATATAATCACCAAGGCTTTATCTCAGTTAGGGTAAAGTTGAGAATCAAAAAGTATTAAAGTTATTTTGTTTTAGTGTCAGACTCCTAGACAGAGCTCACTTATGACATGAACAAAGATCAAGTCGGGGAAATTTCAGATTATGCGGTTTTACTGAAGAGTCCTATACTAAGTAGAAACAACTATTCGGTGAACTCTTTTTTCAATAGTATCTTAAATGAGATCATTCCACACAAAAAATATCACTTATAAATTAAAATAATCTCTACTCAACTCATTAAACCAAGTTATTTTTTGGTAAGCTGAATGATTTCATCTAACATAATGTTTCTTTCTTTTAATCATTTGAGTACCTGTTCATTCCTAAATTCAATCTTTCTTTTTATTATTGTGCTTATTTAAATAACGCAATGAAGAAGGGAAACACATTAACATACACATGTCAGTCACAATGACAAAAAAAAAGAGAAAGAGATTTTCTCTATTTTTCTATAACTATGATTAGGTGTCATTCCATTTCAATAGTGCTTTTCCTTTAGAAAACAGGTATATGATGTTTGGAATAAATGTGTCACGTTCATTGAATGACATAATTCATTAGTCTTTTTTTGTTAGTTTTTTTATAATTAGTTGTACATGATAGAAATATTGATCATCTTGTCTCTGAGTGAAATAATTTTATTTTAGGTGAGTGATAAGATATATATGCTTAGTGGTGACTGGTTTTAAGATGTATTTCCAGTGTATAACCTGTAAAGCTAATCAAGTAGAAAGTGAAGCATTTGACTTGAATATAAAAAGAAGTAATCAAATATTCAATAGTAAGGCGACTAGTATAAGTTAATATTAAATTGTAGATGAAAGCACAAAGTAACCCTGATAATTTAATAAAGTTGAAATTTAACTAGCGATGAAATTCAAGACGCGTGTTCCACATCATTTGGGGCTCATCAACTGAACCTCAGTGTTGATTTTTATATTGAAGCTTAAAAACAATACATTTCAATTCAAACACCCAATATCCACTGAACTACTCAGTTCATATAGCCATTAAATGGTTTAATGAGTATTAGAGCATAATTAAGTATTTTTAGGATCATATAGCTACTATTCATTACTGAAATCGATCATTCTCTTATGCCTTATGAACACCCTTATTGAATCCCTTCAATATTCTTATTTAAACGAAAGTTTTGTTAGGGTCGGATTGTGTCTAGGAATCTAATACAGGAGGGACGTTTCAGCTTATTCATTTAAATACTATGATGCATAATAGTTGGTTGTAAATTGTCGAACATTGGTCACGAGATGTCTGGAACAATTTCTAACGCTTCGTCTGATGAGGAATAAGCAGAAAAATGGTGTAGTTTTTGTATTGATCCACATGATGAATATTGTTTAGAACTATATTTGTTTTAATAGAAGTTAAAAATGAATAGGGTAATGGTATTATTTGATTGGATTAGACATTCGAGGTATTTCGATCTGACAAATGAGCGTGATTTTACACCAAATGATCATGATGTTGTTGTCATATTTTCTATTTTTAAATGCTAGTAGAACATTATTGACCAAGTAGCAGCGGAGTCATTAGGCCGGCTGGCACAACATTACAAAACACTTTCGAGACTAGGGACAATTTGTAGGAAATTACGAACAAGAATTACATGCTAGCTAATATGATTTATTAGTGAGACCATCTATCACATAGGGTTCTTACTACGGCTGAGTGATAACGTTTTTATAACGACACTGGATTCGAATGTCCCTTTAATTATTAGATCCTTTGAGATTGTAGTAACGAGTACTAACTAGTTCAAACACTAAATCCATAACTCCCTGTTCATTAATTTCAGATATAAGTGATACCAGTCTTTTTCATGAAGACTGTCAATAGTGAGTGATGACCTAGTTTGAAAAGTTTTTATAGTGTTATTTTTCTCAGTGTATTTTATGTAGACCAATTTTGTTATAATTATCATTAGTATCTATTTCATTGGTGATGGTGATCTATTTCTTATTTCAAGTAGTAACTTTTATACTTAAAAGCTACATCAAAAAATTCTTGTTCCATCATAGTATCAAATGTAATTAACAAAAGATTACATCACGTTAATGTCAATCTAATTTTTAAATCTACATTATGTAAATGACTTCCGCCAGATAGATGAAACTAACTTAGAAAAGAAACGCTAGTCGCATTTTAAAACAGTAGTATTCAGTTGTATGGTATTTTACCATTTATTACCTACGAAATCATGTTACAAAGGGAAGCAACAGACAATGGATATTACGAATAAATTTCGTTGACCGATAGAGGACAAAATAGATTTTCTTCAGTTCCAAAGAAGGAAAAAATTTGTCCTTATCACTAAATCTAATATCAGTATGTCATCAAACATGAATCATTTTACTTTTTCACTGATCAAAAGTATAAATTAATAATAGCCATTTCCAACTAGTTAAGTCAGTAAGAGACTGGCGAATGTCGTTGAAATCATGAATCAATAAAAGTTAGACCAACATCGAAAACTTGGGAGCGCTAGATGGCCGTTTCACCCAAGTATGGGACGCCTCAGTGGTGAATCCACCAAAGTACTACAGCTTTGCTTGCAAACGTTTAACCTCTGGATCGCTGACCCAGCATAAAACGGTTTTAACGTCTGACTCCAACCAATTTATGACATTGCGCAACCATCTTCTAATGCCTTAGATGAGTACCTGCATCACGTTATCTAACCATTCAAACACTTCTCAACTATTATAAATTTTCTGATTTCCAAAAATAAATTTATTTTGCAAAATACATCATACCTAATACAAGTTTGCACACCATTCAGTTGAGAGAACCGAAGTAAATGGAGTAAGGTTTAGAAATGTAAATGAGCAGTTTAATCTCAAGAAACCATACTTTCCAGTGTACGATGAAATATTTTTTTAAAACACGGCACGAGCCCTTTTTTTCTATTTTTAGAAGAATCTACAGAATTTGTACTTTTATTTACCTCATAGGAAATCATACATGTGTCTACAGGATACCATACGCAACGTAGGACTGTGAACAATACTTTTCCATACATTCTTAAACCACATATCAATAAATTAAGATACAGCTAACCCTGTTGGTAATAAGGACTACACAACTAGTAAGTGAAATGGAAAAATGATTAGGATGTTAAATATTCCACACAGGTGAGCATACATAACCGAAATAATACGTCTTAATTTCCTATTATATTATCACGCTCGAAATTCTAATTCTTGTTAATCCATTGATTAGCACATGTAATCATACATGTCACTTACGTGAGTAATTACATAATCTCTTCGATTAATGACTAGAACTAGGTTTAGCATCCTTAGTTGGGTATGTTTATTCAATAAAATTATAATGCTTATTTCAATCACCATAATCACTCTTACATTGTTGTTCAGTGTCTTTTACAAAGAATTTAACAGTGTTTAGGGGCTGTCAAAAAGAAATGTCTCATATCTTGACTCATATTTACAGTCTTATGACAAGTATTACAACGCGGGTAAACGAAAGACACCACCTATTCTGCTGGTGAGATAATATTAAATAAGAAACACTTAATCGATAATTATGAGTGGTGCTGATTTCTCATAAGAAAGTCTCACCTTGATAACAGAAACGCTTAGTGTATATGACAATTAACAAAACTACGATACTCTTTCTCAAGTCATATTTTACTGCAGACAGTTGATTTACAAATGAATATACTATCAAGAATACAGGTACTTAATTTCAAAAGCAGTAGTGAGGAAATATTGTCTATGATAAACTAAGATAGTTAATGCTTTGTCTTCTAACTTTAAAAACCTAACAAATAACCTTGTACTTGGAAATCCTATGATAAAATTTAAACAAAAAAGTGGTACTAAGTAAAAAATAAACCAACTGATCCACTCAACTGGTACTTGGGTATTAGCTACACTTTAACTGTGAACGCTAATGACACTACACTTTTGCCTAAACAGAAGAGATGGGAATGAAGCTTCAACCTTAAACTTAATGGCTGAAAGTCGAATGCCTTTAGCACTAAGACGATGCTTCAAATATAGAGATTTAATGAACGATTACGTAAAAGCAATACGATTTCTTATTTTTACTTTCAACGTACTCGCATGGCTTTTAGGTTAAATGAAGCTACTTAAACTATGTACGCTAAAGTATTAATAAAAATATAACTCAACAGCAAGAAATCATGTGAAACAGTTTGGACAAAAGTGTGGCAATAACTAGAAGTGAATCAATGCACTAAATAATTTCTTTGGAAGTATACTTAAAGTTGTTTCTTAATAATGCATACCCAAAGAATTCTACACTTTTAGAATACCCCCAAAGAGCTCAAAAAAGGATTTGCGACAACAATCTCGTAATAATAAACATTTATCGTCAGTAAAATTAATATTGTATATATATGTACATGGTTTCATTTATACGGAAAATGTATTGAAATTAGTGAAGTAAATGTTTCACAAGAAAAAATACGTTCGTGCTCATATAGTCTAGTAAATTAACTTTTTGATGTATAGTTTACACAGTTTTGTTAGACTTTAGAGGAGGCCATATTGCTTCCATTAGATATATTCAAATTCCCAAGTGCCTCGATCGTCTCTGAAACTTGGAGATTGTTGGAAGGTAAAATATTAGTAACATCTAATTTCTCACTTGACAACTGCGGACTGTGGCATCCAGAGTCTGGAATGTCCCCTTTCTGTTTTGAAACAGGTTTTTCCAAAGTATTACTGTTACTGAGACTTCCATATTTAGTCCACTTTCCTTTACTTTGACGAAATGAAACCTGTAGTCGCCTACCAGATAAAAGTGATCCGTTCATTATATCTATAGCGTTTTGGGCACTTTGAAAATTACTATACGTAACGAAACCGAAGTTTCTGGAGGAATTTGTTTTGTAATCTTTCGGTATAGAAACATTTAAGATTGGTCCAAACTGCGAGAACAGAACAAATATTTGTGCTTCAGTCATGTTTCCAATATTATATATGTATACAGATGTAGATTCGTTTTTGTCAATTTTAGTGGATTTCGGTCGACCGAAATGAGAAAAGTCGTTTGATTGCTTACAAGTTACATCAGATATCTTAGTAGGTAAATTAGATTGTTGCTGACTTGAAGCAGGATAAAATGTATTTTGAACGTTGGTAATTATAGGACAACCTTGAACTGAATTTCCATAACTTTCCAACTGATTTGTACATAAAGTATTCAAAGGGATTTGGTTAAGATAGTTCTGTTGAAGAGGTAGCCAAAGATTTGGATAAGGTTGTTGTGAGTAGAAGTAAGGGGCCAAGTAACCAGAAGTTACATTTAAGGCAGAAGAGGGGTTCTGATACTCAGTATTGGGATAATCATTACTCCATAACAGACCCTGTGGATTTAGTTGTGGTTGGATAACAGGAGACTGCAATAGTGACCCCTGGACAGACTGGGCCAATGCTGTACATAAATTGTTAGGAATGTAAGGTAACTGTGGACAGGAGGGTGTATAAACTTCAGGGACTGGAGGCTTTGATTGCGATAAGTGAGCAGATAACTGACCGTTTCGCAGATTTTGTTGATGCAAAAATGGTCTTCTGAAGTTGTTCCTGGATTTTGTCAAACTAACCGATTGTCGATAAGGTGGAGTGGCAAACTTTATAGACAACATCTGATTATCTGTAGATCCAGGCCAGATACGTGCATCTAGAGAACGCTTTGCTGCTTCGGCATCAGCAGGATTCTCGAACAGTACGTAGGCACTCCCCTTAGAAACATTCGTATCGTGATCACGCAATATACGACACTGAACAATAGGACCAAACTGTCCGAATTCTGTTGTCAAATCGTGTTCGGTGAGTGTAGGTGGAAAATTTTTAACGTATAAATTTGAGCTTTGACAAAGTCGTCCTTGCAGCTTAGCTAGTGAAACTTTCAGAATCTTATCGGCGATTCGGTAACCATTAAAGCGTGTGATAGCCTTATGAGCCGAGTCGGAATCTTCATACTCACAAAACCCAAAGCCAAAGCTGGACCCACTATTTCGGTCTCGAATTATCCGGCAAGTTTTAATGGCACCGACAGATGAGAACAAGTTGGTCAAATCAGCATCTGTAATTGATGTTGGAATGTAGTTGATGATTAGGTTTCGATCATGATATACAACCATCTTCGGAGCTGAAATAGGGAAAACTATTATTTAGTTTTAAACGGATAACATAACGAAAAGGTGGAAATGAGATGATGGATTGAAATCAATACTTTGAAATGTTTATGTTCTGTGTAACTTTGCTGTTTTCAATTTTACGGCTTTTTATCCAGCTTACCTACGCTGGATTTCGAAAGGTAGAAGTTTCAGCTTATATTTTACAAGCACATATGTAAATTTACAGTAGACGTTAGTTTGCTTCAAAAGTTTTCGTTTTTGTAGTGATAACAGTACAGAAAACAAGTCTATACCGATTTGTCCAAATTGTTTCAAACTAGATGATATATTTGTTTGTAAAGGAGTCTATTTGAAATATGAGTTTCAAATGAATGATGCTACTCTCCCGTCGATAATTTTAGTCGGTTATAACGGTCTTGATATATAAACTATGTTACTTCAGACTTTAAATAAGGTTTCAAAGACCAGAAGACTGCACTCCAAATAGATGCATCAAGGTACACTGCAAATCGTCCGGTTGCTATACCAACGCTCACTCAAGAATCGCATTCAAAGACTGGTTACTATTCCTAAGAACACTTAAATCAGTGAATTGTGATTAGGTCGTCAGGCTTCCTATTGCTGAGATTCAAGCTTTAGATCTACTTTACTTAAATGGTTTGGTAAGCCAGGTACCAAAGCTAGTATTCAAACAACGTGGGGTATAACATTAAATATGTAAATTCTCACCTAGTTACTGAGCTTTATTTTCGAATAACATTCAAATTTTCAACATAGCGTTTACACACAAGTTGATCTGAAAGTTTCGACTTGAAAACGTTTTAGCATTGGCGACGTGTAGTATGAACATTTGCATTTGGATACGTGACTATACTAGACGTTTTGCTGCTTTGGAGATGTGTAAATGTTAAAGACTTGAACACACTATCTAAATTAGTTCTGGCTTAATAATCCCGCTGTAGTTGCAAAAGTTATTTAGACATGATGGAATTCCAAACGCGTATCGTAGTTCGTCTAGAATAAACATAACATTGACTACTTGCTTGATCTATCTCGCAGTATGACTTTCTAACCTCCCGATGAGCATTTTCGAAAACTGTCGCTATCTTTCGATTAGCTTTTAAAAGTATTTAATAAAAATTTAATTTATTTTGACGTTACTATCATTAATTATTATTGTTAAGATGTCGATAACTTATGGTTTTAAGTTAGCAATTGACAAGGTCACCTGTCTATATAAAGATTTCTAAGCGTCGGGCAGAGGTAACACCTATAACGTCTATATCCACTGAATTCTGAGTGATCAAAGTTACCACCGTTTAAGAGGAAAACCACCCCAACCAACTAATAAAGGGGAAAATGCGTTGGAAACAATGGGTCGTCGACTTATATCTCAAAAGAAATACTAGGTAATTAAAATTTGACGGAGTACGACATCGCGTATACTTAATGCGCAGACAATATTAAAGTGAGTCCGGTAAGTTAATCACAAATCTAATATAGAATTACAAATCTCAGTGACATTTGAAAACATGAGAACATAAACTTTAATACTGTATGCAATTCTTGATTTCAACACATTTGACTGGCACATGGTCTAAGTGGAAGGAAATATTTTATGGGAGATGAACAGTTGTTATAAATACCAATATGTTATAATACATACAGACCTCAAGAAAATACGTGGTGTCAAAACGTGGCTTTAGTCGTAATCCCGCCTTCAAGTAAGGTCATTATCATAATATCCAATATATCAACCACCTATTTGACGAGCTAGTCTGGACCAGTTAATTCTTTTGCTCCTGCTACCTTCTTCGGTACACTCAGAGATTAACAAGTATAATACTTCTCAGAAATAGTCAGTACAGAATGCTATCATTACCGCTTTTGACAGTGAATTCCATGGTTCATAGACTTAATCACCAAAAATTCAAGACCTTGCTTTCTTCTATCACATGTCAGAGTGGTGTCCACTTTTATATAGTTTGGTACTGAAGTGCATCAGTGGTGTGTGGAAATTTCAAGGATTATAAGACCCATTATACATCTTGATAATGGCCTTACTTAGTTTCTGTACCTCACTAAATAAAGATTTAATGACACAAAGCCAGACTGTAGCAGTAAGTAAATCCCCAAAATAAATAGCTCTGTAAGTTTTCGACATTGGATGCTGACCACATTAGTTCTAAGGGGCTCACCTAGCTGGAAGCGCTCAGTCATGCACCCGCACCAGATCACGAGTGGGAACGCCGTGCTCAACAACCCCTGTAATCGCTAGCCAGATTAGATCAGACGATCCTCGATATATTGATAGTCTATCAAATATATCTTTGAACCTCCCCGCTTCTGTCTTTTGATTTCACCTGGTGGGTACGATTCAAGTGGAAAGTGTTACTGGTTAAAGCGTTGTCAAACTCCGGATACCTGTGGCATCTTCAAGACTATTATCGTTTTTACTTGAGCAAACTACTCTTGAGAGAACAATATCATTCTTCAGGTAAAAATATATGGTGGATGACCATTTTTTAAATGACGTCCAGTGAAATATTACTGAGTCCTAGACAAATCACTCATTAGGCTGAAACATTTTCTGCTGTTTGTAAGAACTAATGATTCATTTGTACTTCAGGACTGCATGATATCGAATTTCCGATAAAATACATTCGTTCGTGCTTATCTAGTACTTCTTGATCCGACTACGTTATTTCTGGAATTCTTAGTTTGTGCAATAATTCAAATACTTTTATTTATCACACTGGCTTCGCGATGGAGCCTGTGAGAGAACGGTTGGACATACATTGAGATTTTTATGCCTTCGAGGATTACATGGAAAGGTTCGAAATCTAGGCTATGACCAAAGAGGTTGACGATGTTAATATTGTGGCCCATTTCCTTACATTCATCGGAAAGGAAGCATACTTTTTATTGAAAACCCTGGCGCTTCTACAAAAGCCTTTTTCACGTCCGTATTCAACTCTCAAGGAACTACTGCTAGACCATGCACAGTATACGAATTTTGAATAGAGTAAAAGAGGAAAATTTCACAAAATAACTCATCAAGACATTAAAGATTATGGTACATTACTACGTGGTATGGCGGTATGGCAACCTGGACCGATGCATATATGTGCCTGATCCTACGTTGTATCTGACTGACATTACTACGTCATTCTATTCCAATGCGTACTCAAGTTTATGCAGATAATCCACTGAGTTGCGACGCGTGTCACAAAGATTATCACAATTGTTGTAAATGTTTGTCCTGTGGCAAGATTCACTCATTTAATTTATGTGTATTTAGTAATTATAAATGCTTTAAATGTGGTGTGATTGGATACATTCGGCTATTTTGTAATACTGCTCTTCATTTCGCTGCAATCAATACTAAGTTTTGTAATTCTGATCTTTTTAAGTTGAGCGTCTCTAATGATCATTTGTCTTTATCTGCGGCTTTAAAAAACAGTATAGAGTCGTTTAACAGTTCAGAATTAGATCAAACTCAGAATAATAATGAAAAAAAAGTTGCTAATCAGTCAAATTCTTATAGAATATCCCATCTTATTGTACCAGATATAGTTTATCCTAACGATACACATATTTCTGATGAAATTTCCTACAAATCTGAGGAAAATATTTTGAGTGAATCTAGTCATGATCGAAAACATGATGCGGTTTTGATATATGCTGATTATTTTAAGGATTCATTGTTCTTTAATAAAATTCTTAGTGAATTTAAGGAAAATATTTCAGAAAAATTGGACTCTGATGTCATATCAAATGTCATTTGTCCTCACAGTGGATTTATCCCTAGTGATATCTCTAATGTATGTGACAAATGTGTTCCGAATGAGTCGAGTTCAAGTCACATTCCTGATGTATCACATGTGGGATATTCTCACAATCAATGTATGTTGAGTAGAATCCCTAGTCAGTCGTATGATCAATCAGAGGGAATAGAAAGTTATCTCGAAATAGTCCGAAAACCAGTTTACCCAGATATGAAGTTTGCACAGGCAGGAAATCCAAATTCAAGATTATTCTAATGAGTATGAGGCAGAGGCATATTTTCCATTTAATTGTTTTGCAGGCGAATCAAACCTAGATGGATCTCATGTGTTAATAACACATATCAATGCAGACTTATCTATTGTAGTGGCCCGTGGATCTGACTCCTATTTAGATCGTATGGATGTTTGCTATCACCGATTCTCGTATATCATCGTCGACTTTAATCACGTTAGTCAATAACGGAATCAAATAAGTCAAATAACGAGAATGGCCTTTGAATACATATACTTTGTATATAAGGTGAATGGAAAATTGATGCCAGCAACTAATAATTAGAAACACCTCAGACTAATGTCTTAAATATAAACATATTCTTTAGATTTATAAATGTTTTGTAAAAACCATTAATTTTTTAGGTCAATTAAATTTTGTTTTTTTCCTTTCAATTTGATTGTTCTATAATGACTGAAATATGAAAAAGATTTCAAAAAATTGGATCAAAACTGAGTATTATGCTTTTCTTCTTTTTTTTAGTGAAAACTAATTTTATTTCATCTCTTTTTTTATTAAAATAATCTCTTGGTGGTATCTCAGGCAATAAAAATTTAGTGGCCCGTGGTTCTGACTCCATTTAGAGCATATGGAAGATTGTTATCACCGATTCTCGTTTATCATCGTCGACTTTAATCACATTAGTCAATAACGGAATCAAATAAGTCAAATAACGAGAATGGCCTTTGAATACATATACTTTGTATATAAGGTGAATGGAAAATTGATGCCAGCAACTAATAATTAGAAACACCTCAGACTAATGTCTTAAATATAAACATATTCTTTAGATTTATAAATGTTTTGTAAAAACCATTAATTTTTTAGGTCAATTAAATTTTGTTTTTTTCCTTTCAATTTGATTGTTCTATAATGACTGAAATATGAAAAAGATTTCAAAAATTTGGATCAAAACTGAGTATTATGCTTTTCTTCTTTTTTTTAGTGAAAACTAATTTTATTTCATCTCTTTTTTTATTAAAATAATCTCTTGGTGGTATCTCAGGCAATAAAAATTTAGTGGCCCGTGGTTCTGACTCCATTAAGAGCATATGGAAGATTGTTATCACCGATTCTCGTTTATCATCGTCGACTTTAATCACGTTAGTCAATAACGGAATCAAATAAGTCAAATAACGAGAATGGCCTTTGAATACATATACTTTGTATATAAGGTGAATAGAATAGCAGGAAGAGAAGAGATGCAGAGTGGAGATGGCGGGTAAGCCAACTCATTTTTAGTCAGGCGTTAATCAATATTTATAGGCAGACAAAATAAGCTACAGACATGTGATGAGACATGGGATAAGAAGTGTACACACATATACACTCATATAAAAACAATGAAGACTGGTAAGCGAATAACTAACCAGGTCAACATATGACTCAAGTAGAATGAATAGATTGGTTTGTCCGAAAACTAGAATAAGGTATATGGGCTTAAAATAATAACTGAAACTGCACTGTGTATCCTAATATAAAAAGCAAAAGGAATGTATATCATATTTTTTATGCAAGTCAAATTGACATGATGGGATGCCTCAAATTATGTGCCAGTGTGTATCCCTAAATACTCACATAAAATAATCGAAGCGTGAGATATCAGATAATGCAAATTTGCAAAGTCAAGTTGGTCATAACATTGCGACGTTAGGACCCCATATTATTTCGTGGTGGATGATAGTTTTGGAAAATCTATTATTCAAATTCTAGATATTAGTGGTTTTCACTACACAACCGACATGGTGAGTGAATACAATTCCAGGGCTCAGGGGAGTCCGTTCCAACTGCAGTTGTTAATTCTAATACTAATAACTACATTCTAGAGCATACAGAGTCGACATCTAATACACAATAGGAGAGACGCGTGGTAACCCTAAGGAGAAGTGGCATAATTAGTTGCAGGGATTTGATTCTCATTTAAGTTGAGGCGGATGTGGTGTTTGTGTGAACTAATGATCCCCTTGTACTTGATGACTGTTTGATTTCGAATTCTAGATACAATACGTTCGTTCGTGCTCATATAGTTGTCCTTGGTTAAATTGCGTTATATCTTGGATTTTCAGTTTGTACAATAATTCAAATACTTCTAATTACCACCCACTTCCACACTGGACGACAAATCCTGAATTGTTGAGCAACTTATCGAATTTAGTCATGGTAAATGACACCAGGCTAGGTAATGGCTAGGTAATGGCCGCAAGATGTGACCTCACGTGAACTAGGATGTCACGCTGTTGCTATCAAACTCCAGTATGTCCGAACCATCCACATGAGTTACCTACATTGATGTTCAGAAACTTTTTTCAGTAATACAGTAATCAGGCTTCCTATGATTTTGAAAATGAAACCGATGACCGAGAACGCAGTGTTAACCACAGATTGCTAACGGAAATTATCACATTGTTATGCCTATGTCATTTCCAAGGGTGAGGAGTGTAATACTGAGATTCTCAACAGCTATTTAACGTTGATACTATTAACAGCCAAGATATTTCAGACGTACTCAACTACCCTGACTTAGCAGCCATTATTCCATCTTGGTTGATAGTGATTGGTACACTGAAAGAAGAAGAATGATGACTTCAGAAATATGGTGAGTAATGAATACATTTACTGTACAATTAAATATTGTGTGTTGTTTCTCAGCATATCATAGTAATACAG